TAAAAGACCACATCCTTTGGTAGCATCCTTTCTGGTGTCCTCTTTAATTTTTAATGTAACCCTTGATTGTCCTTGTGATGGAACCAACACTCAGAGCCCACTCTGTGCCAGACTCTTGGTTAGATGTGGATGTGTGATGATTCAAGAAGGAAGATGGGCCATTTCTGACCTAGTGCTACACAAACCTGACCCTTCGTGGTAGCAGAGTGGGAACCCTGCTTTTCCGCTGCATGGTTTGCTTTCTGTAAGCCGATTGCTCATGGACACTCGGTGCTCCCTTCTCTTCAACTCTGTATCTCCAAAGGTGGTTTAGAAGAAGGGCATGCATGCGGCGATGCCATAAGAAATTGAGGGACAGGATGTGCAGGCTGGGCTCTCAAGTCAGAGCTCTGTTCACGTCACAGCGCTGCCACCCAAAGCTGCGTGACCACGTGGAAGTACTCCTCATCACTTAGGTTTCTTCATCCATAAAACCAAGATGATGATATTTACTTCATGAGTTGCTGTGAACATTAAGGGATATGTTAGATGCAAGTTCTTAGAACAGCGATTTTCACCTGGTGTGCTGCAAGAACTTTTAAAACATGCAATAGTTTTTTTAGTCAGGGGCACTAGCCTCTTTTCCCTTAGATTGTCAAAGAAAAAAATGACAACAGCCAGCACAACAATAGCCATCTGGTGTGAATGAATCAAAATTATACCTTTTTTTTTTGGTTAGTTTGGCAGAAAATATATTTTTTGGTGTTCCGCAGAATTTTTGTAATTGGTTAATGTGTGCCCTGAGATGAAAAAGGTTGACATCGCCTGGCATTAGTTTATTGTTGACACTGTTGGCACTTTAGGCCAGATAATTTTCTGTTGTAGGGGCTGTCCTGTGCATTGTAGGATGTTTAGCATCCTTCATGGCGTGTAGCTAGTAGCAGTCCTCCACAAGTCGTGACAACCAAAACTGTCTCCAGACATTGCCAAGTGTCCCCCTGATGAGAACTAGTATAAATATAATATTTACCAGCTGTTACATTACCCTTGCAAATCACTGCCCCTCCGAAGATCTGGCTGGCCTTTGGAAGTTCTGTTCCCATCTGACCTGCTGCTTTTTGTCTTCTTGGGCATCTCTGAGTTGATTCACTAGCTGGGTGTTAAAGTTACTTGCTTCATTCTGGGTTAGTATCTGGACTTAGTCTCCTTAGAGCAGTGGGACCTCCTAGGCAAGCCAGCTGCCCCTGGGAGCCAGCCTACAAGATTATCTTGTGATTCCCCAGCAGAGTGAAGGCGGATTCTTTTTGCGATTTCTCCTCTGAAAAACCTAACCAACCTATGAACCCCCCCCCCCC